GGTATGCAAATACATATTTGACAGGCAGGTAGGAAAGCCAATTAATACGCTCAGACTGAGCGTTTTGATTGGACCAACATTTCTTGGTCCTACGCCTACCACAGAGTATATAAATACATTTAGACCACTTAACTTAATCATTGCTGTCGGGATGTGAAGAGTCTTTCAACCAGCACAAAAAAAACAAACACCTATTGCACCTTTAAGTGGAAGTTAGTTGAATGTGGTTTGGTTCATCTGTTGAGAAAGCTATTTTGTGTAAGCCAGCTGTATATTGTGTATAACTAAACACGTGTGAGTACCTTGAAAGTTGTTGGCATGAAGGAGTTTGCCGGAGAACAGGAGGAAACCAAGGCCTCGAAGCAAGATTGCTGCTGCTGTGCAAGCTAAGGAAGAGTCACACAGATCTTTTCATCACGAGGGATGAACACGATGGCTGCCGCTCTAGGGAAAGTGACTATTTAAATGGCTCCTCTGCCATCCACAGCTGCCACTTCTCTTCAATCAACCAATCGCATGCACAAAGTCACGTGGCAAACCTCACAGCTTATTAACAATTTAAGAACCTTGGCACCAACACAGACGGCTTCGCCTCCTCTTCACCAACAACTAATCCTACTGGATGCTTCGAATAACCAACTGTTTCAATACTTATTCTTGCCCCACTGTTCATTGAAACAATGCATTCATCACTGTTAACTCACTATGTGCTGTATCTCATGTACACTGATGAGCAATGTTCCCCTTTAACACCTTTCCCCAGTGTTGCTGGATCTTCCTATACTTCTGTGTGGGGATATTGACACTTACACTACACATCTCACTGAGTCATTGTGCTGTACTTGTTTTTGGTGGCCACACACGTACTATAAACGCTAATTATATGGGAGGGCATTGCCTTTTTCCGAGTCTTCAATATCTACATTTGAAATATCCTTGGTACACAATCTGCAATTCCAAATCAACTCAACTGCAATAAGTACCTACTTAAAGGAGTAGTTCACTTCCAGAATAAAAATTCTGTCATTTACTTACCCTCCACTTGTTCCAAACCGGTGAGAGTTTGTTTCTTCTATTGAACACAAACGAAGATATGGCTTAAAATGATTTGACTAAAAAAACCTCACAATTCACACTATTGCTTGTTTACTCCACCCCTCCCACCTCCTCAAGTCCACCTGAGTATAGAAACAGACATGGTCTAATCTGATTTCTATTAGTGCTCTCAAATCAAGCGTGATTAATCGCATCCTAGAAAAAACGTGTTTTCATCATGTGTGTACTGTGCATATTTATATGTATATTAAGTGTGTATATATGATTTATATTATACAAATACATATAATTATACACAGTACACACACCTATATCACGATTAATCGATTTGCCAGCACTAATATCTGGAAACCTCAAGTCTGTCCATTAACTACATTAACAAAACTCAATGGCCACTTTGATAAGGATGGATGGCTATACAGACAAACTACCCCCAAAAAATAATTAACTCACTGAATATCTTTGTTTCCATGCAGTTGGACCATCAGCAGTACAGCATCTGGACAGCGCCACTGTGAGGACCTACTCTTGCTGAGAGAACATGAATATTATAAGCTGTGAGTCTCTTTCACACACAGAACTACCTGTGCTAAACTAAAATCATTTTCAGCCTTTGATAAACAACATCACTGCCCCTCCTCTCCTCTGTAAAATAAACTCAAACAATGCTTCATGGATATTCATATTAAGAACAAACTCAAATCACTCACTCACTAATGCACACGCATTTACACTATCCAGACTGAACTTTACAATCAAATGAGCCACATCTGCAGGCAAACAGCCATTACATTACACTCATATATCACACCACTACAAGTCATCTAGACACTTCACAGATAGATTTAAAAAAAATACAAAGTCATACTTTTAAACCCCTTCTTACACTCACTCATGCACTTCCAAAGTAAGAGTATTATGTTTGCTTCAGCATCGCATGAATGTGGTACACTCACCTTGTAACAAACAGCTCCAAGGTTTGTTTGCATACAACATTATCTGCTCTTTTCTGTTACATTTCTTTCAGAGTCGTACCTTCAAGTTGGCCTGAACAAACAATTCTGATGAGTCACACTGCCAAGAGAACGACAGAAGCCTGCGGAGGACAGGGCGAGGAGGCTCTGCGCCAGACGAGCCGAGGCCACGACCCGGGTGTCCGCCGCAGATGCCGACGCGCTCTCACTCTTTCTGTCTTTTACGCCACGCAGCTCCTTCGGCTTAAGTACTGTGTATTTCTTCTACAGGGGATGTTAGGTTCAACTGTAAATCACTATAAATAAAGCTGTTTTTTATATAAATATAAATAAATATATATACACACGTCTGTATAAAAAGAAAGAACATTCAGAGTTTGTGCACATCGCATCACGGTTTTAAACAATGCTGCTGTTCTTATTTTTTCTCCTACACCCGAGAGACGCTTTTGACATTCTGTTAATTTTCATTCATTTATTCATGCGTTTTGAGGCCTGTTGTGCGGTCTGCCGACTGGAAGCGCCTCGCCCAAAAGCTATACGTACCTGTCAGAGTACCACACCAGTTACTCACTCGTACCTCTTTGGAGCCCGGGTCTACATCTACTCCAGGTGCAGGTCTGACCTAAACCCGTAAGAAATGCACCTATTCAACAAATAGGTCAAACTTTTTGGCAAAGATTTGGGGAAATTTTTCCTTACTTCACATATTTCTATGTGAAAACAAAATATGAACTAAAATAATATCACCTGGGTCTTCATTTGTCCATCGTTAATTCATCAGCTGGATTGTGAAAAGCAAGTACCACATACGAGTTCAGAAAGTCATTTTGCATCAATCATTCTATTGGATTAAACATGCAGAAAAACTTTCAACAATGTTCAATCGATCCTTCACAGTGAAGCGTACTGAAGAACACGACTTAATAATTGGATATGTTTACGTCTCACGCATGCAGTCACACATCTTATCTTTTGGTTAGAAAGAACGTAAAACACAAATTGCTTCCCGTCATGAATAGCACAAAATGTACCGCCAGAGCATGGTGCGTATTCGTTGTGTCTCGGAGCACAAAACACAAGTCTCTTGCTGCACCTGTAGCCGTTTGCTCCGTGGCCTCGTCTCGAGAGCGTCCGGCCGCCTCCTGTTAGAATAATTCGCTAAAGGACAGGCTTAGCTCGTAGTGAACATAGACTGACTTTGGTGTAAAAATATTTTCAACTTGTTTCTGTTTGAGATGCAGGTCTTTAGGTTATTTCAAACACTTTGACTGTTTATACGTCCCAGTTTTGCACGCGCAGAGAATCATTTTATTTTGTGTCCATTTTTTATTTATTACTGATTGTATTTTGGTCAAAACTATGTGGTGATCAAACAACTTTTCATTGTCAATAAAAAGTACAGTCAAATAGGTTTGCTTTATAACAATCATTGTCACAAATGTTTTTCCAATGCATCTCGTCAAGCTGACGCTACAATACATTACATTTCACCTCAAGTCAATCAATTGTTTAGTGTGTTGCAAGGTGAATCTCACAAAAACGGTCAACAGCATGTCCAGGTTATATATTAAAAGTCACAAGGAGGAAAATAATGGAGCCAATTTTTTACGATAACTACATACAGGTAATTTTTTTTCCTTCAGTTGTCAAACTATAAAATGTCAATAAAATCTTTCAAATTCAAAAATGTAAACATTGGCACAATTGTTAGTTTGTAGTTGGGGGGGGGTACAAAAATTACACTACAATACAATATAAAAATGGCCATCATTTGATTTTCTTTCGCAAAATATATATCACTTATTTTTTTATTTTGGATCTCGGGGGTGAAATAAGTATGAACTGGACATATATTTGTAACATTCACCAAGTCAAACTCATCCTAATTTTTTAATTATCTAAACATGTTGACTACTGCCTATATTTGGTCCAAGTTATTCAAAAACATAAACAAGTGGAAATGATCATTTTAACGCATATAAATTACATCACATTAGGGAGGAAGGGTGTTTAGTGAGAGTGAGTGTGTGTGTGTGTGTGTGTGCAGATCCACATCTGGTTGTATATTATTTACCAGGTCCTTTCACAGTTTCTCTCAGCAGCTTCTCAATGTCCTTAAAGACCTCAGGATCTTCTATGGTGGGACTGATCTGTGAATTTAAAATCAGATACATCCGAATTAAAAAGCTCTACTCTATCATTTTTTGACTGAAGCTGAAGATTTGCAGCAGTCCTTAATTAGGAAAAACCATTATAAAAAATTAGGGCTGCCCTCGACTAAAGATTTTTTTAGTCTACTAATCACACGTTTCTATTGATAAACCATATAATTCATAATAATGAGCCTTTATTGCCTATAGCCTATCTGTGCTCAAGCGCACGCATTAAACTTTCCATAGTGCACCGGCAAAAGTGATTATGAATGCGTCAGGGGAAAAAAAACAGCAAGAAGACTGCCTTGAAAAATGGGATTTACAATAAAAAGTCATTTACAAAATTATTTTGACTTGTTTATTTATTAATGAGTAATGTCTCTTTTGAGTGAATGTGCAAATTGTTTATGTTAACAGGTTTTACCATGTTATTACAACATTTAACCACTTTTTATTCATTTAAAAATTGAGAAATTCTTTCCAATTTAAATCTTGTACAAGAACTACAGCAGAAACCAGTTTGATGCATATTTTATCTATATTTTAGAAATTGTATTTGAATATTACCAGTACTGACTTCAATGGATTGAATTAAATTCCTTTGAACACAACTGCTCAAAACGGTCTAAATTTATGAAACCTACACATTAAAAACATTATTACTCTGAAATGTTTTATGTAAATGTTAAGTGTAAGTGGTGAAATGTTAAGTAATGTAAGGTCTTTCATGACACTACATATGCTGGGGTGTGAATCTGATAGGTGCTTGATATAAAATAAATGGTGCTTTAAAAAGGCCTTGAATCTGGTGTTCATGAAAGAGTGGGAACCCTGCAAAAATACCTTATAAGGCTTGTGGTTCACCAGGTTTGCGAGAGACGATCGTGGAATTTTTCCCGAGCGGGTTTTGGGAAGAGCTTTGACAAAGACAACCTTCTTAAAAGCTGCCACCGGCCCAATGGTGTCCCTCACCAATTTCACCATCTCGTTCACCAGCACATCCTCACTCTTCCAACAGTCTGCAAACAAACACGCACATAAACAAATATACATCCTTATTTGTGTGTTTAAGGCACTTTATACACAATATGGACACTGGCATCCCTTTACTTCATTCAAGCCATCTGATCCCATGTTACCTGGTAACTGTTACTTAATGAAAACATAACTACCATAAACTATTACACATTAAAATTCACAAAGCATTAACACATACATTTTTCATACATTCTAATATGCTGATTTGGTTCCAAGTTATTATTGTTGCTAAGTTAATAATTATGGTTCTTATTATTACTAATGTTGAAAATGCTTTTTGCTGATTAGAGTGTTGTCAACATTAGTAATAATAAGAGCCGTTATTAATAACTAAGCAACAATCAAAGTTAGAGCCAAATCAGCTTATTAGAATCATTTCTGAAAAATCATGTGACACTGAAGACTGGAGTAATGATGCTGAAAATTCAGCTTCGCCATCACAAGAATAAATTACATTTATTAATTTTACAAAACATAATTTAAAATACATCATAGTCAAACACACACACACACATATATGTATATGTGAAGTCTCTTGTATATATGTGGAGATATATAAACGTGTTATATACACTTTTGTATATATACCGTGGAGATCAAAATTAGAGAACAACCTTC